AAACTATGCTCACTGCCTATTAGTATGGTTTCTGCCAGCAGGTGATCCTGTTAATACTTAGTCACTGTAAGTCTCTGCGCTGAGCTGCAGTTCCAGGAACGATGTGGTGAGATCAGAATCTCAGATTTCATCAGAAATGAAAATGTCCTTGTAGGTGCAAAGTCTGAAGCAAAAAGGTGAATCAGACTATTTATCTGAACTTTTTAACCCCATTGCCATCCCAGAATGGAAGAAAGAAGGGGAAAGGGAAGTCTAGCATGAGTAAGGCCATGAGAGCCTTAGAGGTGAATCATGGTTTACTCTTCAGGGGCTCTGGATTCAGTCCAGCTGCACACTGCTATGTGCAAAATACACATTAATACTTAAAGAAAAGATTTACTTGAAAAATCCAGTATAGCTCTCTGTGTCACAACCAACATTTACCATTTTAAGATAATAAATTATCTATTCCAACAACATAGTTTAGACTACTGATGGCCATACGACTTTCTGTTTATATATACAAAATCATTTGAAATAATGATACTGAGATCTCAACAAAAAGGAAAAATGCTTTGCTAGTTAATACCATCTCCCTGCATACTGATATGTCACATGAACTATGACTAAACTAGATCTGGGCAAATCTAGGAATATCTGTGCTCACCTCAGGCTCTGAAAGCCATCGGGACAATCTGCCAAGCTCACCTGGCTTGCCAAAGCCTAAGCCTGTCATACAGAAAAAACAGAATACAAGTAGACTTCTGAAATAAAAGTTGTGGTTGCGATGTGAAGTAATCAATTTGCAGTGGCAAGAAATGAAAAAAGACTGTGATTCTTTTTGCATTCTACATGTTACTGACACAGCAATTTAAATGCTTAAGCAATGAAAAAGGAGGATGTCAACCATGTGGTATTTTTAAGAGCTGATCACCACAAGTCAGGTGGTGAGCGCATCTGATTAAGCTTTCAGTAAGCGCTGAAGTTTCTAAGCATTTACCAGTAATGGCCAGCACCTTTCAGTGTGAAACCTTAAATAGGCTGCACTTCTTCAATTGTTCTGAAAGGTTTAAATGAAAGTGTCTGGAATTTGAGTGAACAGGCATAGTTTTCCTGTCATAGAAAATGGTATGGTTGTAAATTGCATCTAAATTCTGAAAGAAGTCTTTTTCTATGATCAGTAAGTCTAATTTCTTAAGGAGGGCAACAGAAATAAAGATAATGGCATTGTGACAGTATGATCACTTTTTAACTATCAGTAAATTAAAAAAAAAAAGGTAGTTTGATTCTTCTGAAAACCAGCAAAGCAGAAAAATGGAACAAAACATGAAGCAAGTCATTCCTGAAGAATTTTAAGAGAAAACTATTCAGTAAAATGGTCATTATTTGTAAAATTTACCCCAGCAATGTACTTTGCTTAATACTGTCTCCCAGCTAAAAATAGTATTTATTTTTCCCTGACAGAGCTATTGTCAAAGTATGCTATGCCCCAGCATTACTATTTACCATCAAAGCCAGAAGGAAATCCAGACTGCATTGAAATGCATGAAAAAAAATGTATAGGCTTCAATATGGGAAATATCAATCATTAGGGCTTCCTAATCTACCAAAGTAAAGAAACAGAGGTAGTAAAACCAGGAAGAAAGCTGTATTTGACATTTTATACCTGTAATTATCATGATGGTTTTATCCTCCGTCTCCATGGTTGTTTTTAATTTCCAGCTGATGCTAGTTTAAGTGCAAAACTTGTAACAGTGAACTACATTTGTTATTTGCTGTTTTTTCCCAAAAAAAACATCTACTGAGATGCAAACGCTAAAAATGTCAATCATTCAGGTTCTTCAATATCATGAATTATGCTACTGTAAGTAGTGCCTACCATAATGGAACCCTGACACCCCCA